ACCACCTTGTGCTTACACTTGATATCGTCGCAATGAGAAGGAACGGGTCACTAGGCACGGAATGAGCCCGCCCACGGTGTTCTACCCACTGGTTGTTCTCCCAGCCCGAGGCGAGCTCATCCACCTCTCCGACACCGCTACGACTGATCGCGACAAAACCAGTTATAGTCTTCAGCACAGTTTAATACGGGGTAATATACGGTTATGCCGATGAACTCACACAACACCTCCAAAAACTCCTGAATGCAGATCTTGCTGGATTCCAGTCACTTCCACATTGAACGAACAGATCCCTCTGAAACTCGCAACCTAGTTATTTTGAGCTGGCGCGAAAATTCCAGTAGATGTCTACGATGATATATCTATAGCTCGATTAATTTCAACTCGGACTTCTTATGGTTAGCCATCGGCACATGCAGACTGAGAATGATTGCGGGATCCATTTGCTCACTGACCCTCTCCCGTCACTTTGAAAAAGAGCTGCAGTTCGCATTTTCTTACCTCAGTCCGTGAGTAAGACATGGTTTTGTCGTCCCCAGCCAGTAGCTGTCCGATATGCAGGTGAAGTCTACTCCGGCGAGGAATTTGTTCTTGTTTTTCGTCAGAAGCTCCTCCAAACCCAGTGATCCGCTCTCCTCCATTGCTTCGAAACAGAACTAAAGTGATGTTATCAACACCATATTATTGAGATACTATTGTTTCCTATGGAATTTCGGCGCGTTCTCATAGTGTAGTAATATGAAAGAATATGAATGTAATTCCGACTTTTGAGGGGGTAAATTCAAACATTAAACGCTAAGCGCAAACAAGGGCTGGACCATTGATTAATGGTTGTCACTGGACCATTCATGAATGTGAAGTTTTCCCAAAACCTGTTGAATTTCTTGCTTTTTGAGCTACATAAGCCAGGTAGACCTGCATCGTTCTGGCCGTCAGTAAGCGGGTTTACTTCTTGAAACAGCACCCTGTTCACTTTGGAAGAAAACTTCACCCTACGATTCCCCGCCAGAGCAGCTGCACTGTATTAATACTGCCTCCTAACCTGTGAGGAAAGAAAAGCAAAGTAGTGTCCTTAATGAGGCAAGGCAGCCATCTCGCATTGAACTCCGCCCTGCCAAAAAATATCAGATCCAGCTGGCCAAAAGTTTGAAAACAAACTCTACCCTCTACTCAGTGCATCCCAGTCATTTACTTGAGCGACGCGAATAGCTGCTATAATAGCTGCATAGCGCGATTTTCTTAGTTGAGCAAGCAAGGAAGCAGCAAGGAAACGGGACATGAGCAAGGAAACGGGACAAAGGGTAGTGATTTTGACCGCTCAAATACGCGAGGCTGGAAGGTTGTGATACCTTTAGGTCTCCTGTATCCGCAATTGGGCACGTGCCATTGATCATGTGACTGGCCGTGCAGCCAGTGCTGCTGCACGGCCAGCCACATGCCCAATGATGGTCAAACTTGTCATTACTTGTCCGCGCCCTCCCACTTCTAGTTCTGTTCGCTGACTAGTATTGTTAGATTATGGTATCGACACACGTGCAGTGCCTTAATGATAGTGCAGGCTAAGTGGCAAGACAGCACCCGGGCACCACTACCCAGAACCATCGTGCCCATGCACTTTTGGGAGAGAAAGTGGCATGCTACTGCAGCTGCGGACTTTGGCAAGGATCGTCCTCGCACTGGGTATTTACTTTGTCTTCAGAGTGAGCTTTGAAAGGCTCGTTCTGGTAAAATTAGGTTTTCATTGCGACAGCTCCCCGACACTCGCAGAGACACTCCCCCATTGTGCCTCCTTCGTTGGTGCGCCCTCTTTCTCGCTGTACTGGAAGGAGGAACGCACCAGTGATATAAAATACACAATGTTTCTACCCATCATATGACAGCGGTTATTGATGATTCCCTCCTTTTAAGTTTCTTGATCAGATACACAAGCCCAACCGAGGTGAAGTTTAGTTGTGAACGCTGTTTTCGAAAGATGTGTTGAGGAGAGAGCATTGGAAGCTCAGTTTCGGGCTATAAAATCGTAAGCCATGAAGACGTATCAAGCTCCCGAAATAATTACAATTTTGAAGTTCTGTAAACTTTATCTGCCAGTGCTCGCTAGAAGTCCTCAAAAGTGAGAGTTTTAATATTTTATGAAGTCCTACTTTGAACTATTTCAAAGCTCAATCACTTACTTTGACGTTGACGGGGATGTCGATTTTATGCTTCTGAAGCATTTCAATAGCATGCATCCAGCATAACACCGGTCCTTTATCGTCTGAAGCTCCGCGACCGAAGAGTTTGTCATCTTAACAGGAAATAGGATATATTACGAACTCCATACTGGGAAGTGTTGAAGAGGTTGAAACCTTTCTCAAACAGTGTGAATGGCTCTGTCCTCCAGCCGTCCTCCTTCGCTGCTGGTTGGACATCTGAAATATTTAAGAAGTGCTATACTACATAGGAACGCGAATGTACAGTAGCGGCAAAAAAACTTGGAACAAGCCCAAGTCGCGCGCTTTTAATAGTTTTACATACAATTTTTAAATTGCACATGAAAACTTTGTTTGCTCAAACAAAGTACGCCTCAAAATGCTATTCCAAAAAGTAAAGTGGTTGATTAGATTACACTCTAGTTCACTGCGGACGGTTGGGCGTGTCAGCCAGTGTGAGTGTTCACACCTTCAGAGCCTTTCTCTGCCGTCTTGTTGAAACGCGCATGCGACAAAAAGTGGTAGAAAACGAGTAATACGAAGGATGGATACAGTATTGTCACTTGCCCGCTTCAACAACTGGTGGAGAACGAGTTTGGCACCGCGCCAAACGCAGCCGCACTGACACGCCCAACCGTCCGCAGTGAACTACAGTATAGTTACGGGACAGAATTTGGGGGATTATTGCGATACGGCATGCCGCTGCTACTCTGATATTGGACCGGTTTTCAAAGTTTCTAATGCTTTGCAATCGGAAGAAGATCACACCTGTCTGAGTGTTCGTTCGTTTTTTCCATTTCTTTTTTACAACTCAACCTATGTTGTCCCCAAAGCATTAGAAACTCTGAAAACCGGTCCAATATCAGAGTGGCAGCGGCAAGCCGCATCGCACAATCTTCAAAATTCTGTCCAGGTAACGAATTTAGTCAACCAACTTTTTACGGCAAACAAATTTTTCATGTGCAATTGAGAATTGTATGTAAAACTATTACAAAACGCGCGACTCGGGCTTGTTCCAAGTTTTTATTGCAGCGACTGTAAATGGTTGAAGGACAGTGCGAGCACGCGCCACACGAGTGACAGGCGCACACTCTACCAGTTGGATCACCAGTGTTCAGTCTCTACATATACCTTACCTACACTAGTGCAGTGAGTTTTTATAGAACTTCAACGAATACCACATTGGTCTTGTGATCAAGTGCAAAACGTTGCATCGGCCGGGAATCGAACCCGGGCCGCCCGCGTGGCAGGCGAGCATTCTACCACTGAACCACCGATGCTCGACTTTCACGGCGTACGCGCGGAAGTCTGGCGAATTCCTACGGAACTTGAGCGAACATCGCAGTATCGTTGTGTCACAGCGTTGCATCGGCTGGCTTGACCTTCGGTCGAACCTTTTCTGGGGTGTCGGCACGCATCTGCATCAACCTCAAAATCGCGGAGGCCAAGCCGATGTAAACGCACACTATTTTATTTTCGCATTTAGAAACCGGCCACCACGTGATACCTGACCTCACACGGTGAGAGATTTGGTTGGTCCGGATGGTAACCGATCACTTGACCCACAAACAGTACTCTGGCAAGCGTGGCCACTTTCCATTACACGCCTGCGCCCCATCCAATAATATTGTACGAGCAAAGTTACCTGTTGTAAGGAAGGACGAACCTAAATGCCATAAAGACGAGTAACTTGTATTTCTGTGTTTTTGGTGTGCGTCACCAAGATGATACCGAACAGCACCGGAGGACGATGGTATCTGTAGGCGCAAAAGCGCCCATAATTCTATGGCCCTCGGTACTGAAACGTTCAACAGATAGCCTTTGCATTTTATTCACGCTGCGGAACCTAATTAGAGAAGGGGCCCTCCAGAGTGTGGATGTTATTTTAGGTCTGTCCTTTGGAAAGTTGCTCAGCGTATTTGGGTGTTTCGACTTTAAAAACCGATCGTAACTTTTTCAATTACATATCGGATTTATCGAGACATAGGGCCCATTTTCGAATCAGCACACTTTAGTCAATGTGAGCAGCAGTCGAGACCCAACACCAACAATTCATCATCAAACATAAAAACTAGGGCGCAGGTGGTCGGAAATTCCACGATCCATTGCAGGCCTTTTTTTTGCTTGGTCTAGATTGCCATGAAGTATTTCTCCAGCAAGGAAGTTCGTGGAAAAGTACTTTGAAACATGGCGATCAGTCCGGTCGGTCGAAACCGTCTGAAGAATGATTGAGCGTTGAGTGCTTTAGAACATCAACCCCCCTAATTCGTTCAATATTACATATGAATAGTGCATTTTGTGAAACGTGTGGGCGGGCGTTGTCATGCAAAGGAATCGGACCCTTTCTTTTGATAAGTGTTGGCTGCATCTGACAAAATTTTCGGTACAATTCGTCGATTTCTTCACAGGCTGCTCGTTGATGGTTTGGCCTGGTGATAAAAAGTTATAGTGGATCACACCAGCCGATGACCACCAAGCCGTGACCAGAATCTTTTTTTCGTGAGGGTTCGGCTTTGAAAATTACCTCGGTGGTTCGTCGAAATCCAACCACTGTCCGGAACGTCTCCTGTTATCATACATGACCCATTTTTCATCACAGGTGACAATTCGGCCCAAAAACAGGTCGTTTCTGCTGCGCAAAAGCAATGCAGAAGGAACCTCGAGACGTGCCGATTCCTGCCGGTCACTCCGATTGTGTGGGGCACCCAATTGTCGAGTTTTTTCACCTTCCCAATGCGTTCCAGACCATCTGCAACAGTGGATTTGCCAAGGCCTAGCTCTTCTGCTATCTCTCGAACTGTTTGGGATGGGTCAGCCTCCAAAATCCCCCTAAAATTCCTTCGTCAGATATTGCTTTAGGTCGACCGCTATGAGGTTCATCTTCAAGGCTGAAATCTCCAGAACGAAATTTGTTGAGCCATTGCCGCACAGTGCTTTCTCTAGCACTATTGGGCCCCCACCTGGTTAATTTGTTGAGCTGTTTCGATTGCGGATTGCCAACTATTATAAGTCGAAGAAAAAAAATCGTCCAAGGCGCGCGCTTCTTTTCACATGCTTTCAAAAATCTTAAAAAAGGGGGTTTATCAAGCAGGTGGTGAAACGGCAATCATACCATCAGATAGCGCAAGAAATTCTCTACAGGATGTGCTACTGAGAAGCAAGGCAGAATGAGTTTTTAATCAGCAGTGAATGTACAAAGATTAGGTGCACAAAACGCTAAGAACTTTTTTTTTTTCCGGACAACCTAATACTTGTGAAATCACTGAGACATAACTGCGCAAATGTTCGAAGCCACTTTGCCGGATTAGCATCGGGAAGTCACCGCGTCGCCACCTCGTAGAAATTACGTTCTTATGTCTTCCCAATCTCTTCCAGCGAGCTCCGCTGACACGGGGTCAAAAAACGTGTGGGGAGGATTTCTGCGAGCATTCAAACAGCAAATGTACCCAAAGAGATTAGTTAGCACGAGGCGCGCGGACTGTTGTTGCATTGAATAACCTTCTCTCGACGACACCAGCACTTCACCTTTGATAAGAAATGCGTGCAGACATTTGGGATCCGCTCGTCGTATGACTGACTCGAGATCGGCCTGTACAATCCCCAGACATGGATTAGCGGTGTACATCCAGCTAGTCGTCTTAGATGTTTTTTGCAAGCTTTTCCGGCGGGTAGTTGGTTCGTGTTGCGATGATCAACGCACAGGACTGCCATTTGAGAATGTTTTTGATCATTCGCTTCACGCGGCGGCTGCGCTCTACACTAGCAGTCCATTTCATGCATTTAATTAGAAACAAAATCAGAAAAGTTGTACTTTTATTCCGTACTGGATTGTGCGTCCCAGAGAAAGAAAAGGGTCCTTATTACCCACGCCTTCATTATACCCTACCAACAATATGCAGTGAGGGACAAGCAGTCAAAAGGCAACTTTGTGAGCATGTTGAGTGAAAAAGGGTAGTATGAGAGTTGTGAGGGTAATCTGACTCTCAAAGAGCTCTCACAAGGGTTTACTAGAGAAGCTGGAAATTAATCGGTATTGGAACTCACTTCCTTGCCATCTATGTTCTGCATTCCTATATCTTCAAGAGTGCATCGAGCTCCCAAGTTTCTCTAATCGTTCTCTGCAAATTATATTTACTTTTGAATCGTGATCAGATTTACAATCTTCATATCCTCTTTCATCGATAACTTCTTAACAACAAAAATAGAGCTAGACGAACTTGGCCCAGTGTGTCACTTTGATTGTCTCCTCACGTCGAGTTGGATCACCGGAAATGCTTTTGATAGCAACCGCTTCGCCAGCACTGATTTGTAGTGATCGTAGGAGGCATCGATATCTCTGAACCAAGATGCTGTAGATTAATGCAGAAGCTTGAACACAAGTAGTGTAGTTCTCATCCCGGTGCTAGAAAGAAAATCACTACGAGTTTGGTGGACAACTACCCATTCAAGCGGAGAGGAGTAAGGAGTGCGTCGACGTTTTCTTATGCCGTTAGCGCTCACTTATGCACACTCTGCTTACGTCTCTGTCTGAACCTGTAACTGCCGTCGCCGCCGCGCTCGCAGCCAAGCCCGTGGGCACGCCCCTTCCACACTGAGATGTGGGCTGTAATAACGCTCGACCAAAGAGTATGTTCTCCTAAATAAGTCACGTGTAAGCTACTATGATCAGTGCTGGCCATATTTCGGTAGATAGAATATACACGTCACTTCTTGAATCTTTTAAAGTTATTGCTTAAGTGCTCCAAGACAGTTGGATGCGAGAAGATTTGACCACAACCATACCATTTTTTGTGTCGTTTGAAACAGTCGAAGTTTTGATATTACAAGTCCAGCATGAGATGGCAGATAATAACTGCAAAAAGCAAGACGCGATTGTACACTCAAGATAGCAGGAGGGAGACCAAAAGGCCAGAGATGAGAAAGCACAGCTTCACTATCACCAGACAGAAGCGGCGTGGTCTGGCATGGGCTCATGGACCTTAGCGATAAGCCTGTCCTTTCTCCGCAATCTTGAGCCACGAAAAGGGCACTTCGGTGTCCATTACCCACCCCCACTTTTATGGGGCTCGGCCATGTTCACTGCAGACAACGTTTCCTCAGATATTGTAGAGATCTGACGAATTTCGAGATCATCCTCCTGGCTTGTGGTAATGGCTGCCATTACCTTGGTAATGGCTGCCATACCACCTGCCGGCTGCACGGAAAATAGACTTCCCCTAGATCAAGTTAGCCTCTCGTCATGATACTTTCAGTAAATATAATGCCATGCTCGCTGCAGAGGGCGGAACCCCCAGATCTAAACATCAGTTGGGTCACATCGTTCCACTGATCAAGGAAGGGTTTTTAATTTGAATTCGGAATATCTTAGTTTCGGGAGGTATAAGGCGCATTTCAGGGTCGTCCGCGACAAGGCGCGAAAACATGGTGGACGAAGTAACAGCTTCCTGGTTTCTCTTCTTTGCACAGTTCCATCTTCCATTTGGTTTTCAAACAATTTTTATTTAGAGTTGATAGCTGGTATGAATGAGCACAAAATAGATCATAAGTGAGTGAGAAGTGAGGAAGAACATTCGCGGCATTCGAAGGTGCGCCCTCACATGGGATCACATCGAAGGCTAAAGGATAAAGGTTTCGCATCAATCCCTTCGTGGGGAGCGGCACGCATTCTAGTTCCATTCAAAGTCGGTGGCTTAGTGGCCTATACAAACACTTGCGGGGCTCAGCCGGTGTACAAGTCAGTGTTCTGATCCTCCCAGCTGAATCTGGAGCCAAATCACCGTTCCCAGAGGTAGAAGGCTTGGTTGCCCGAACGTGAAGCGATCCGGGACCGCGCGCGTGGTAACCGGGGCTTGCCGCTGTACCACCTCCGCCCTGGGTGCGCCTCAAACTCCGAAAAATAGACAAGCAACTTCCATTGGATAAGTAATTTTCATTTTCTTGTCAGTCGGTGATCAACTAATCGGACCACTTCCTCACTCATGAGAGCAGAACCCATTGTAAAAAATAATGTCACAAGTTCGCCAAAGAGAAGTGTAGGCTTCATCCGAGACGTTTGCAGATGACAGCCTTCTGCGTGATCACATTATGCCTAGGAATGCGCTTGTGATATTTTCTAGCGCTAGAACACATGAAAAGGGCTTTAATTTTGGCTCCGATTGAAATAAATAAAAAAGACTCCAGTCAAAGCCGTGAGAAGCCAAAACAAGAAGCTAAGAGAGATGAGAGTGACAAAGACCTGACCTGAATACTTGTTCCAGTGTCATCGTTGCGAGAGTAATGGCTTATCAATACGTAAAACTGTGCAGTGATCGAAAAACGCGATAAGATCGCGAGAGCTTCGATTTTTATTGGTCTTTGACCACTGACGAACTTCTGTGCGCTGTGTAGGAAAAGTGCTCGGGAGGGACTGAAAGTTGAAAGGCTTAGTAAAAAGCTCTCAATCAAAGTCACTAGAAAGTATTGTGTCGGGTCAGCCCATATGTGATGGGGTTTCTTCTCTTATATAAAAAGTTGAGTGTGAAAGTTGAGGTGTTTTTCCCAAAGCACTTTTGACTGTTTGGAATAGAATTTCATGCTCGTAAAGGCATAAGGCACGATAACTTCGTACTGGTCTAAAATGGTAGCAGGGGTGCTATATAGTGGGAAAAATGGCGAAAAAGCGAAGTGAAACGGTCAAAAACCTGCAAAAAAGCCTTTGTTCTACACGACTCAGAAAGCATTTCGGACGAGTTTCCCATTGGCATCGTGCCAATAACCGCTACGGTAGATACGGCTGCATGCGTGCACACATACATACATGCAGGGGGGGGG